AATTTATTGTTAATTATTCATTTCTACCTAGAGATTAAATAAACAAAGCTCCCTGACAGAGTTTTTTGATGCTTATCTAAGAAATATTTGTTTTATAAACTTAATCATGGTACAGCTCAACAATATTAAAAATGATTAACCAGTTTCACTTTTAAAAAAAAGATGAAACACTCTGCTCAGAAAGATCTCAGCCTTCGTTGAAAGATTTCTTTGTCAATTATGTTCATTATACTTGAAAACAAGTATAACTATATTACATTGGTGTCAGTAGTATTTTAAGTAGTCTTTTAAGATTTTTTTAATTTTTTGCTTAATTTAATTTTTTTTTGAGACAAGATCTCATTCTGTCACCCAAGCTGGAGTGCAGTGGCACAATCATAGCTCACAGCAGCCTCCAATTTCTGGGCTGAAGTGATCCTCCTGCCTCAGCCTCCCGAGTAGCTAGGACTACAGGCATGTACCACCACTCCTGACTAATTTTTAAAATTTTTTTTTTGTAGCAACAGGGTTTCACTACATTGTCAAGGCTGGTTTCAAACTTTACCTCAAGTGATCACCCACCTCAGCCTCCCAAAAAGCTGGGATTACAGGCATGAGCCACTGGGCCCAGACATATTTTAAATATCAAAATGGACATTTTCTTATATTCCAAAGGGAACAGCTTTTGTTTGACCTAAAGTAAAATGTTATTGAAATCTTTTGTGAGATTTAATTCCATTTCATCTAATATCCATAATGATTTTGTAACAACCCAAAAGCTGGTATAATTTCTAATACAGTTGTGTTTGATTAACCCAATTAATTTCATTAACTACTCATCTGTTCCTCATGTCGTCAAAATTGCAAGGAAGTTTCAGTCTAGACCCAGTTGCTCCTTGCACAAAAATCCCATTATTGACACAACAAGGATTGCCAAGGAAGAAAGGAATTTTTAATAGGATAGATGGCTTGCTGGGAGAAGGGGAGAAACTGCCTCAAATCCATCTCTCTAACTAAGGGGTATCATGGGCTTTTAAAGAAGGGGCCACATACCTTGGGGCAGGTCGTGGTGTGTCTCACAAGGGGCTACATTCTTTGGGGGCAGGTTGTGAGGGGTGGTGAATCTTGTTTATCAGGAGGTCTGCCCTGGGGCTTCAAAATTTCAACTACTTTCACTTGTGGAAAAGCTATCATTTCAGGCTGAGTGTGGTGGCTCACGCTTTGGGAGGCTGAGGCAGGAGGATTGCTAGAGGACAGAAGCTCAAGTCCATCATTTCTGGGAAACAACTTAAAGGGTCAAGTAGATAAATAAGGGAGAAAATTATAAAAAATATATAGGGGTTCATGGAATTGGTTATACTCAAACATAGTGAAGTGGCCCAAGTAATGAACTGGGAGATAAAAACAATACAATAACAAAAACCAGTTCTATGTTTAGATATGTTTGGAAAGGTAAGAACATTTCTTTACTGCAGGACTTTTCACAGTCCTTATATGCTAATGTGCACTTTGAATCTGTAAAGAGAATTTTCATATCCAAATAAATTAGGCCATGGATGCTTTTTCACATTCCAGGTCATCTCTGGTGACTAATAAACCATAGAGTACATAGAATACACTGCTGCTCTTCAGTCTCTAAAATCTACCCCTGCATTAACCAGCCCAGCAGAAAGCTGGGCATCAGGACCACAGCACATCATGGCCCCCTAAATTACTCCTACAGAATTGGCTTTGGCATGATATAAGCCCCAAAGTACAGACCTGTAAAAAGTCTCATATGTGTGGCTTTTTGTAAGGATGTAGAGGGGAATGCTGCACATAGAGGGTCTTTGTTAGGAGGATTGGTGGGAGAAATTTCTCAATTCTCAGCCCTAAGGAAGGTTGATCTTTACGACGATGCTGCTTCATTACTATCCTTTAGATACAGCGAATCAGACTGTCCTTTACCCATTAGCTGCTAAATTGGCTGGAGCCAAGTTTGTGCCTTGCCCCTTGCAAACATGGAACAAGGGCTTCATATCATTTGTCTGAAAGTAGCCTCGTTCCTCACTTCCCCCTCTTATTTCCCCTCTGACTTGATTTCCCAGCCACAAAATTTTACTTTGATCAAATCTAGTTATATTGTGTGTCTCCTTAAAACTGTTTTACATCCTTTCTGGATGGGGAGGAAAGGAGAAAAGGGGAGGGAATGGGAGAGGAACCAATAGAAAGAAAGAAAAGGAAGAAAAAAAAAATCTATCCGTATATATACCTTGTGAGTCTTGCCAGTTCCTTCTTCCTATGTGATAACCAAAATCTTAAAAATAACTGAGAAGTTTTTGCAAACAAGTAGTCTTCAAGAAACTTAAGGCAAAAGGAAAATCATTCCAAGTACATTAAGGAATGTAAAAAAAAAAAAAAAAAAAAAACTAAGCTACACTTATAGAGAGGTGGGAAGCAAAGCTTATTGCCTGAAATGAGAGAGAAAAGATAGTTGTGCACAGGACAGATTAAAGGTGTGAATTCCACAGCCAGGTCCCCAAACAGAGGAAGGTCACAGATGAGAACAAGAGACTGGAAGGATGGATGACTGGGATGCATGACAACATTATTTTGGCAGAACAAGAAATGGAAATGGAGCAATTGGGAGAAGAGATGAAAATTCAAAGCTGTGTGTCTGAATTGGAGTTCATTGCCAACAGGAAAGCCAAAGAGCAAGGGATTAGATACGGTGCAGTAATAATGTTTTATGAGAATCATGCCTCAACAGTGTAGCATTTGTACTTAGCCCCGTGTACACCTTGTACAAAGTGTAATTCTCCTCCTGCTGTGTCATTCCTTAATGTTATGGCCATCTTCTGCATTGCCATGAGGAAAGGGAAGCATTAGTCCTTTAAACTGTTATTACCTAGGGTTTCACTGGACTTTGCTTCTATATTGAGCTGAGGCAGAGATATATTAATTTGGTAAAGTTCAGCTTAAGAACTTAATCACATAAATAAGAGACTAAACGGATGTGATAGATCTAAATCTAAACACTAGAAGGGATCTAAGAGGTCATCTAACCCAAACTTCGTTTACACGAGGAAACTGAGGGCCATAGAAATTGACTTAGCATTTACTCAGCTTGTGAATTGTAGTTCATAGAAATGTAAACAAACAATAAATCAAAAAAAAAAAATTTTTAGAAAAACATAGATGAGTATCAGGAATAGGATAAGATCCAAATTCCCTAAGGAAGCCCCAAGGGCCATCCTAACGGGGCCCCACCAACTTGTCCTAGCCTCACTGCTAACCACCATCTGCATCCCTCTTCACATCAGATTCCCTGAGACCCCAGCCCCCACCCTCCACCACCAGCAGTGCAAATGCCCCTTCTCGATGCTGTGTGTCACACACATGCCTCAGCTTGACTTCTACGGCCATCTTTACAATGTTTTCACCTTCTCTTCTTCATCGCTTCGCTAGCTAACTCCTACTCACTCTCTAAGGCTCAGCGTCAGTTCTGTTTCATTCTGAAAGTCAGCCCTGACCTGCCGCCATCATTAGCTCAGTTGAGGCTCTCTCTCTCTCTCTGGTTTCCATAGCACCACCTTTGGCAATGCATAGAGCTTAAGTGTTGTGGCAATGTGTACAGCCAGCGTTACAGCTCTTGTTACAGCTCTTATTCATTTGACCAGGGAAAGAACCGAGTGGCACATGAAGAGTCAGAGAACAGCCTTTATTCTTCTACAGCAGGCTCAGCACACCTAGTACTACAGCTCTTTTCGTATCTTCCGATGTTCTTCCCTTCCTGCCCGGCTGCCCCTGCTTTTATACCCCTGGTAGGGCTCAAGAAGCGTCCAATCAACTACAAGCTTTAACATCCAATCAGCAACAAGCTTTAACAGCCAATCAAAAACAGTGGGATTCAAAAATTACCCAATCAGGATCATGTAAGCAGCGTGGCTGGAAACAGGCAGCAGCACTCGGGGGTCCCTGCGGCCCTTGGAGGTCTGGCCCCAGCAGTGTGTCCTCCAGCTGGCCAAATGCAGCACTGGCCCGAGGAGATGCAGAGCAATGGGGAGGCGGCAAGCAGCCGTGTCCCGGCACCCGCCATTTTCCGTATCATAAGAGCATGGGTTCCAGGTCAAATTGCCTGCATTTGAATCCTACCTCTACCCCTTACTGTCCTGTGTAGTTTTAGGATTAGGTCACTTAATCTCTCTATGCCTTGGTTTCTGTGCTTGTGAAATAGGAATACTATGTCTATCTCCAAAAGAATATTGTTTTATACATGTAAAGTTCTTAGAAAACTGCCTGACACATAATAAGCACTCAATGCATGTTAGCTACTACTGTGATTATATCCATCACTGATCCTACAGAAATAATCAGTGAGCTCCTTGAGGCCAGAGAGAATGATTTATTATTCATCTTTGTTTTCCAGCCCCTTGCATAGTATCTGGTACATAGTAGATGCTCGTAAGTCTTCTATAAATGAATGAATGGATAAATAAAGTATGTTTTGTTGGTCATTTAGTTTGTAGAGGTGGCTTAGGGCAAGACATATTTCAGAAATGGTAGTAAATTAGAGGAGTGAAAGCAATCAATTGCATTTTGAGGCAGAGAGATCTGTCATTATATCAGAATATTAAAGATTTCTATGAGATACTCTCCTTCATACACCTAAACTCATGGCTGTTACCAGAATCCAATCTCCAGGTCTAACACAACAAGGAAGAGAATTTAAACTGTTCATCCATTACATGAAAGTGGGCCTGTTGCCTCTTGTTACCTCATGCCTAGAGAGTTCTATATAAAATCTCTCTGTTTTTACATTGTTAAAAGGCATTATTATTATGTTATTAATATTATTTAAAGGCATCTTTCCAATGTTAAATGTTAATTTAAGTAATGTGTCATTAGTTTATTAATTTAATATTAAATATTAAGAGGAAGCTTGGAAAGAATGTGTTTTAAATGGAACTAGTTTCAAGATCCAGTGAGAATGTCGACCCTCTCTCTCTATAAACATTTATGTTCAAATAAAATCTTCTTACCTCTTCTCCTCTGAATAGTCTAGGTAGATGTTTGTCAGCAAGAATGAAGGAAAGAATTATGAGCAGCAAATGTCACTCTCTGTCCTTGTGATAGCACAAACAATGAGAATAATCTATCCTGTGTGTTTCTTTCCCATTTAAAAGGGAAAAAAAATTAGTTTCTGTATTCTGAAGGAGCTCTAACACTGTCTCATGAATGAACTTTTGTCCTTCCCTGGCTATTGTTTGGTTTGGACACAGGCAGCCTGGAGTTTTGTCACCAAATGTGGAAAGTGTAGTGATCATGAAGCCTAACAATAGTGCAAAGACTCAGTCTGACAACACTGGCAAAGAACAAAAGACAACATATCTATTGTGGTTTCTAGTTTGGGGAAAGCAATACAAAATTGTAGCTTATTAGGATCTAGTCCTCATTCAACTTAGGATTTAAAGTAAGACACAAATCAAAAAGCTGTAGATCATTGTTTGATTTCCCTCTTTATCAAACAAAGAAAATTTAACTTTGGAAAGAGCCTATGCTGATGACATGGTGCAAGTGGGAGATGACTGGTCTCCAACTTGGTAACCCCCAAATCTGTACTTTCTGCTCCCTATCACTCATTCCTGAAACTTCTGTTGGGAGTTTAATGCTCTTTTCTAGGGCAATCTCCTCCATTTGGTTCTTCTTTGGTGGAAATAAGACACAGGAACTGGCCAGGAGTGGTGGCTCACGCCTGTAATCCTAGCACTCTGGGAGGCCGAGGCGGGCGGATTGCTCGAGGTCAGGAGTTCGAAGCCAGCCTGAGCGAGATAATTGACCAACTAAAAATATATATACAAAAAATAGCCAGGCATGGTGGTGCATGCCTGTAGTCCCAGCTACTTGGGAGGCTGAGGCAGGAGGATCACTTGAGCCCAGGAGTTTGAGGTTGCTGTGAGCTAGGCTGATGCCACGGCACTCACTCTAGCCAGGGCAACAAAGTGAGACTCTGTCGCAAAAAAAAAAAAAAAAAAAAAGGACACAGGAACCTATGTACACATGCCCCACGTGACCTTGGGGTCTAGTTGGAGATTTGGAGAGATTGGCTGGATATATCAGCCCCAAACCTAATGCAGTGCCTTTGAACCCCAAAGCGGAGTTTAAAACCACATCCAGAAGCCTTAAGCATGACTTTTGATGAGCAGAGACTGGCTTCATGAAAGTTTAGAAATGGTTCCTTCAATTCTTTGGTGCCTTGCCAAGTATATTAATCAAGGAATTTTCCAATCATCCCTTTAGTTCCTTCTGCCTCTCATGTAATCAGCCTCCTCCTCTCCTCACCACTATGCCTGGGACTTTCATTATCTCTTCTAAGAATTATTTTCATATCTCATATCCTCACTTACTGTGTGACTTTGGGTGACACAGGAATTGTTATTAAACAGTTTTTTCTCTGTAAAATGGAATTAAATGTAGTATTCACCTCAAAGGAGTAATGTCCAAATTAAATTATGAGATAATCCCTATAAAAATGTTAAACCTGACACATAATCAATCAATGTTCGGTCACATCATAGAAATACAATACTCCTAATACATACTTTCTACAAGCTTGATTTCATAAGAAGTATGCAAGTTTTCATTTTTTAGGTTACCATAAAAGATGGTGATTTTTTTTGTTGTTGCTGACACAAACAGCATCTATTTTTTCCCAAACAAAAATTGAATCATGCCAGAGTAGCCCAGAAGCACAGGAGAAGCACATGACCCAGTAATTGTGTAGTAAGGAAGCTTTTGAGTAATGACTGCTGGTCATTTTAAGAACTGTAATTGTACTGTTTAGATGTTCACAGAACAATTATTAAGAGACTGTTATTAAAAAGGACATATGTCCTGGAAAATATTGGAAACTTCATTCACAATATTACTTCTATTAATGAGGATTATGTCAAGAAAATGTTAGAAGTTTTATTTCTGATTTCAGAGTTTAAGTTTTAAGATTTCAGTGTTTTAAGACAACCTGAAAAAAAAAAATCAGAATGCACCCCCAGCTGAATGAGTAACTGAAGACCACTATACTGAAGCCTCATTGGATGACCCAGTTTGGCTAAAAGCTTCTCTTACAAACAATGCTGTACTCTTGGGAGGAGCTGAGGGTCATCGTGTAGTTCACAAATGGTGCAAATCAAAATTTAAATTCTTAGTTTATCTACTAATTGATTTACTGTATGAGGTAGAACAACTGGTTTCACCTCTCCGAAATTTATTTTCAAAATCAAATAAACTCTACATGTGTTTCTATTTGATGCAAGAAAACTAGCACAGGGATTCCTCTAGATTTTTTGACATGTTTATTTGTCCTTTTTCTCCACTCAAACATGTGGGTTAAAGCTAATTAGGATAAAGTTAAAATTGATTATTTCTACTTCTACTTCAAAACTAACTTTGTGAAGTCAATTTTCTGAGAAAAAAATGTCTGCCAAATTTTACTGACTTCAAGGCTGGTTGTTTTTCCCCTATGTTTTCTAGGATAAATGCTGGCTTCTTCCTGAGTGTCAATACAGTAATTACATTTGGCAGCCCTCTCATATTCCCAGGAGTTCTTGGCCTTTCATTGTTTGGAATATTGATTTTAATTAGCGCCAGTGGATCAGCAGCTCTCACTTCACTCAATCTGAATACCAACATGCCCAGAGCCTTTGCTCCACGGTTCACTTTTTCATAAAGGGGGGAAACACTTTTTTCACCTTTGAAACTCAGTAGGCTGATTTTTCTATAAGCAGGCCAAGAGCTCTGTGCTGACTGAGCTAATCTGTGAGCAACCAAAAGAATGGAACCAAAGAATGGTTGGTTCATTTTGGTTGTAATATACAGTTACTTACAGGTGTTCCTATTGAGGAGCTATAGACAGGGCAGAGAGTTAAATAGCTCCTGCCAACAAAATCGCTCATGCAGGTAAATAGAAACAAAAAGTCAATGTATGGCAAAGAAGAAAGCTACCATTTGAGGAAAGAAAGCCCAATTAGTATGACTGAGGAGTAATAAACATTTAGTACTGCCAAGAGCACCGGTTAGCCCTCTTGGTAGTTTTCCACAGAGGTTTTCTATTCCAGCCACGTCTACTGACATGACCTGAATTTGCCTTGTTCCCTTTCACTTAGCATTGGGCATGACATATTTTTTTTACAAATGCTGGGGTCTAAATAGCAAGTAAATTTCAAACTTCAGGAGAATATTTGTAGGAGGGTGGGTGGAACCTACATTGAGGAGCCCTTTTAATCCTTTAATGAATTTACTGAGTTGATTGCTTAGAACTTGATTTCTAGAGATTGAGTGGTAAAAAAAACTCGTGATTTTCTTTCTGAAGTAAAAGGCTGAATTTCATAAGTTAACTATGCTGTTGAAATGTCACCAACAAGCAAACACCAATTCAGTCATTGTCTATTTCATGACTCCATTTACCTGAGGTATCTAGAGTGGTGGAACCCATAGAAACAGAAAGCAGAATGGTGGTTGCCAGGGGCTGGCAGGATAGGGAGGCAGGGAGTTGTTCTCTGTGTATAAAGGTTCAGGTATGCAGGATGGGGAAGGGGAGAGCTTCTAGGGATCTGTTGCACAAAAATGTGCATGCCGTTGACAAAATTGTTCTGTATACCTGGAAATTGTTGGGAGAGTAAATTTTGTGTTATGTGGGTTTTTTCCACAATGAAAATAAAAGCAACGATTCAATCATTTTGATTGATCAATCAGTATTGAGCAACATATCAATTCTTTTAAAATGGCAAAGCAGTTGGAAAATAACTACCATTAATTTGAGGCAGATACTTTTCAAAATGCTGTGCATTCATTATATTCTATATTTAGTTATTTAAAAAGAATTGTAGGCTCCGCTATATTCATTTTTGGGTTTTTTTGTTTGTTTGTTTTTTCTTCTTCATTTTTAAGATCTCACTTTGTTGCCTAGACTGGAGTGCAGTAACATCATCAGAGCTCACTATCACCTCAAATTCCTGGGCTCAAGCAATCCTCCTGCCCCAGCCGGCCAAGTAGCTGGAATTACAAGTGTATGCCACCATGCCCCACTAATTTTTTTTTGGAGAGACAGGATCTTGTTATGTTGTTCAGGCTGGTCTTGAACTCCTGGCCTCAAACAATCCTCCCCCCTCAGCCTCCCAAAGCTCTAGGATTACAGGAGTGAGCCATCATGCCCAGTCTTATATTCTTATTCTCACTTATTTGCTGCAACTCCCTAGGAGTGGACTACATTTCCTAGCACCATATCCATCAAATTAGACCGTGAGATTTGCTCTGGCCAGTGAAATGAAAGGATAGGATCGTGAAACTTCCTAGTATAAGAGTTAAGAGATGGCATGCTGTCTTCCCTGCTCCTTCTGCTTTCCCTGCCTCTTGCAAATAAATGTATGAGCATATGTAAAGATGAGCCTCTATCAGCTTGAGTCACAGTGGCACATTGATGACTCAGACAGACATGTTGCTGGAGTGTGACCTACATTTTGTTCTTTTAAGACACAAGAGATTTTGGGTTCATTTACTATTGAAGCAAAACCTATCCTATCTTAATTCACAAACACTTGGTTAAAAAAAATAATACAATATTTAATAGTTAATAATGTGAGACCACTATTATCTCACTCCTCCCCACTAGCAGGAACAACCAATTTCTAATTTTTTTTTTTTTTTTTTTTGAGAAAGAGCCTTATTCTGTTGCCCAGCCTAGAGTGCAGTGGGGTTATCATAGCTCACTGCAAACTCAATCTCCTGGGTTCAAGCGATCCTCCTGCCTTAGCCTCCTGAGTAGATGGGACTACAGGTGTGCACCACCATGCCTGGCTAATTTTTCCTATTTTTAGTAGAGATGGGGCCTCACTCTTGCTCAGGCTGGTCTCAAACTCCTGAGCTCAAGCAATCCACCCACCTAGGCCTCTCAGAATCCCAGCATTACAGGCATAAACCACCATGCCCAGCCCAATTTCTAACTTTTTATGGTATTTCTTCTTATAGCCATTGCTAAATTATATGCTGTTATTTCATGATTTATCGAAACATTATTTATTTCCTACTACAATGGATATGGATTTAGTTTTATCCCCACCTCATTATCTAT